GCCGTTAATCATAGGGCGGCCTGGGATTTAGGTCGACAGCACTCAAGTTCAACTATTTTGAGCCGCCTGAGATAGGATTGGGGTTTCATTAAAACGAAAGTAGGCTGTATTTTTGGTGCAATTTTCGGTCTCCGCTTGGAGTAATTTTTTCAAGGGATAATAGTTCCAACTTATAAGATCCAAACTCGGTACGTGCGTGGCACCAAGGCATTTGCAGCCGTGACGGATGATGGGGCAGGTAGATGACCACGATGCGCCATGTGAGACGGGCTCATAGGTAACTTTACAAATTAGCAAACGACGAGCGGCAGGGATGCCGTCCGGTATTATTAGTTCGGACATACGAACTTGTCAACATATTCAAACCCGGTCAAAAAGGCAAAGGGTGATTTCTTTTTATAGAAAATACGTGCATACAGCGTGCATACAGTGAGTACCCCTTAAATTAAATTGATCCAGGAATGACATTCACGCAAGATTATACCATTTCTATCAACATCAATTAGACACTAGTTCAATACGAAAATAGTGTCCAATTCTTTTAAAATACGATAAATATTTGAATAGTGTGGGCACAGGATGCATTGCGATCAACCAAATGCAAGGTATTGCAATGAACACAAACGTAAGCATAGATGGAACGAAAGGAAGTCTCAATCACAATAATTTAAAACACCTAGATCGGTTTTCCGCCGCAAGAAGAAACAATGAAAAAGCGGTACGATGCACCGAATAAGGGAAAGCAGCCAGTCATCTGCCGCCGGTGGATAAAATTAACGGCTGAAGTTTTTAGTGTGACGGTTTGGTCAGCGTATCCGGCCGCAGAGGCCGGCAACTAACAAGAAATGAAATTTTGTCCAGTTGGTGCAATGGTAAATGCTTTTTTTATGTTGGCCAGCGGCTGATGTACGGATGTAAAAAAAACCGACAAGTGTTAAGTGTCATTATATATATATAGGCTTGAAATCGGCCGAGTTCATGCTACCAATATTCATTTTGTCTTCGCATAGGACGTCGTCGCGTCAAACAATAAGTGTGATGTATGGACGTAGGGAAAGTCCAGTCAAAAGATGTATGAACAAGTATTCAAGCGCATTTACGTGTTAGAGACTCAAGCTAATGTGGAATAGGTCAGAAACAAGTCGTCACCACCCCCCTTCTGTAAGCTATGCATTTCTGCCGACAAATACTAGCTTAAGCCATACAGATTCACGGGCAAAAACGTTTGACAGTTAAGTCAGCTCGAGCAGTCCAATTATAGGTATAAACAATGAACTGATGGTGATATCACGTAAAATGTGCATCAGTGGATAAGAATATTCGAAGCAGCTGACGCTCGAGTGCACCTGATATGTCAGGAAGTCAACTACGCTTGTAAAATGATTCGGCAAATTCTACATAGGATAGCTCGGCTATCAGAGGCACTTTGAAGTGAAAACGTGAGATCATTTGAAGCAATATAGTAAATATGAGCTTGACGAATCATAATACACGCAATAAAAATTACCTTTGTTGGAATGTAGATATCGACATCACCGAGAGTTTGCACCCAACGATAGTTCGGAAGATCTCCTCCGTTGCCCTCGTTAGGCTTCAGCTTACCTTTGTCTGCCTCGTCTTCCTCCTCCCCCTCTTCAAGCGGACCAATCTTAACGGGCTTCGGTTCGGGCTTTTCAGAAGCCGCAGGCACTTTGTCCTCTTTGGTCTCGACTTTAGGAGGCTGTTCACCGTTTGCACTTGGTTCATCGAAAACTTCCTCAATGACAACGCCCTTAGCTGTATCTGTAAAAACGGTCAAAATTGTATAACGTTGTTATTAGCGACGACTAACGTGAATGAAGTTAACTGAGGCGCTCGGAGGCCGTTCCGAGATAAAAACAAATAGAGCATTAAGTAATAGTGATAAGAAATTCAAGATCAATAATACACTACTAACACTAATTCGCACCTACCACTGCGGTGATTCGCATGCATTTAGGCAAAATGGATCATAATTAGCTAATTCTAAATCTTGGACCAATACCATTGTCTCCTGCAGCTTCCGTTGCTTTCTCGGCGTTTTTCCGTAATGCTTCTTCGGCTTTTTCGGCCCGTCGGCGCTTTTCTCGCTCATCCTTTTCCTTCATTTCTTCCCTTTCTTGATCACGTCGAGTCATGGCAACATCCTACAGAGAAAATAGCAGGAAGTATCCACCCGTACTTTATAGTTTTTGAAGTTGTCAAGAACCAACTTTTTAGCAGTTGATTCCGTGGCACCGTAGTAGAAGTCTGTCCGCCGAGCAAGAAAACCGAAGAAAGCTTCTAGTAAGCCTTGAATTCCATTAGGGCATTGCTGTGCAATGTTGAGGAAGAGACCGTCAAGTGGATTTTCCATATCTATAAAAAAATGACGGTTGGGTGGAGCCGCAACATCGTGCTTGAAAAAAAAAAGTATTGTTTAAAATTTTTATTCAAATAGAAAGT